GAGGAGGAGGAGGAGGGGCGGTGGCGTCGGTGGATGAGGGAGAGCGGAGAGGGGGTTTCCCGTCAATAAATGGAGAAAATGGCGGCGTCGGCGGTGGCGGTGGCGGTGTCGGTGTGCGTGAGAGCGAGATGATGGGGGTCGGCGGAAAGCACGACGGGGGAGGTGGTGGGGAAGGCGCTCACGCGGTGTCGCTGCGCACTGCCCGCCCAGATCTCGCGCAACCTCCACCACCATCACACGGCTTTTATTAATTCTCACTCAGTTTCCCTTTCACCCTCCCTCTCCCCCGGTACTCACCTTAGTCCTCCGGGGTCCGGGCCCACCCCATCCCCGTTTTGACCGGAGAAAACGGCGTCGCCAATCGAGAGTGTCTATGGGAGAGGTTGTTGAACCGTCGTTGTAGTTAGACGGGGTTGTACTGATTTGGGCTTATATTTTGGAACGGCTCCATGGCGTATGATGACATGCCATCCCAAAGATTTTTTTTGCCAACTGTGAGCAGTGACGGAGTCTTCCTATGATTGTCGTCGAATAGTAGGTGATGATTGTGGATCCAACAATAGCCTCTTCAATAAGCTCGGGTGACCACCAGTGTGGCTAGATTCCGAGTCATCTTCAATCCTTCTTCATCGGTGCAATGATGGTTAGAGAGTTGTACCGAGGACCGTGCTCTATTGTCGCCTTGTTCTCCCCACTGTGTCGACCTCGCTTGTGGAAGATGGAGATCACCGATGCAAATGCCTTCATGATGCCTTGTTCAACCTCCGCATGGGAGGCCCTTGTTCCCTTGTACGTCGTCGGTAAAGTTACCATTCGAGCCGCTACTCCTCGTGTATATGATGAAGTCGTTGCTGAAAGTGCATGTAGTCTCATGTGCCGCTTTGTTAATTGATAGCAATCGCTATGAACTAATAGTTTTATATTAATGCCCTGTTTGGTTCGGCTGTGGATTTCTAAAATCTGCTGTGGAAAAACAGTTGTGGAAAATATGATGTGAAAAAGATGTAGGTCATTTGGCAAACCAGTTGATCCAGTTTTTTCAGATTTTGGCCCGCAGCGGAATCAGATTTTGAAAAGCACGTCCTGGGCTGCTTCCGCTTTTGATTCAGATTTTGGCAGCGGATTTCTGGAATCGGATTCTGCTGGGTTCGCCCTTTGGTTCAGATTCTGCTGCGCGGCAGCGGAATCCGTTGATAAAAGCTGAACCAAACAGGGCATAAGATGTATTTGAAGGTGTTGTAGTCGTGGATTTTAATCCTACTGAAGGTCCCACCTTCTATCCTACGTGGAGCACTAAACAAGCAGTCAACACAGGTCAAGACAGTCTAAGAATAGTCCAAGCAACCCCTCATGGGACCAAGCAGGCCACCCCGGTCAACGAAAGTCTATGCAAGGCTTCATCGTCAACAAGTCAAAGGGAGAAGACTACATAAAAGAATAAGTCAAACAAGAAGACATGGGAACAAAGAAGCCCAAGCAAGGAAGGATCCTCATAGTGTATGGATTCTCCTCTTAATGGGCTACAACTCACCTCCTGGCACAACAAGGAGCACATGGGCTAAAGGGTAGAAAATTCCTTGTACTACCCTCCCACGGTCCCACCTCCTTACTTCAAGGGTAGGCTTATCATTTGTCAAGGACCCCTAGGCTACATAAGGCCCCCATGTGTTGAAATATGCCCTATATGCAATAATAAATGTTATTATTTATTTTCAAGTTTGTAATTAATGTTTATGTTTAAGGGGATGATGCACTTTGGGGTTCATCAAAAGTCAACCGTAGCAGGGTGATTATAAAAGACAACTTATAAGTCCATTGGAAAGGTATGACAAGGGACTAGATAGCTTGAGACAGGGATTTGCTCCTTTGACGATGGAAAGCTATTCTTAGGGTCATCTCAGTGTGATGCTAATCATCATTGTCTGGCCAGACACAACATGACTTGCTCACGGGGTTGCCGGAACACGGGAGCGAGAAAAGAGAACAACAACTGGTAACGAGAAAACTAACATAGTGATCAAGTTGTTGGTCACAAGTGAAAGGATCGATATGGTCGACTAGAGGGGGGTGAATAGGCGACTACCAGTTTTTATCTCTTTTAAAAAATTAGGCTTGACAATAAAATAGGTTTTCTAGATATGTAACTAGGTGGACAACCTATATGACAAGCACGACAACAAGCACAAGAACAAACACAATATAAGATTGCACAAAGTAAAGGTTAGAAATTACCACAAGTGGAGTCGATGGAGAAGAGGATGTGTTACCGAAGTTCCCTCCTTTAGGGGGAGGTACGTCCCTATTGGAGCCGTGTGGAGGCACAATGCTCCCCAAGAAGCCACTAGGGCAACTGTATTCTTCTCACGCCCTTGCACAATGCAAGGTGCCATGATAACTAGTGGTGCCCTTGAAGGCGGCGACCGAGCCTTTACAAACAAGGTTGGGGCTCTCTCGACAACTTAATTGGAGGCTCACAACAAAACCACAAAGCTTCACCACAACGGAATGTGGCTCTGAGCTGACCTCTTCTGTCTATGGTGCTAAAACACCCAAGAGTAACAAGATCTACAAGGGATTAGTGGGGGGAATCAAATATCTCATGGTGGAAGTGTAGATCGAGGCCCTCTCCTTCAAATCCTAGAAGATCAACAAGATTTGATGGCTAGGGAGACTAATTGGGCGAAAATGAGCTTTAGGGGAAAAATGGAGCTTGGGGGATGAGAGGTGGGTCTTCTTGAGAAAGAAGACCCTCTTTATATAGTGGGGTCTCAAATCCAACCGTTATCTGCTCTACCCGCACTTAAGCGATACCACCATTCTAGGGAGCGGTACTACCGCTTCGAGCGGTAGTTTTCATTGTAGCCTAGGAGTACATCAAGTACTGGTGCGGTAATGCCACCGGAGCGGTACTGCCATCCATCAAGGTGGTACTACCGCAACTTATTGATTGATCTTTTCTTGTCTACATTATGTCATCTTGCTTATTGTGTTACTCTGTTTATCATGGACTTAATACTTTGTGATGCATGCTATAGCGGTCTTGGGTGAAGTAATAGTAGTAGATGCAATTGGATTAACAGTCTACTTGCCAAAGACCTAGTGCCTATGTGGGATTATGCCATGAATGATTGATAACCTACAAGTGCACAGGGTTTAGTTGTAGCCTTTTCAAAGTAAGAGTACCGATCCCACATGGAGCACAGAAATCAGACTTTTGCCTCTTGTAGAGAACTATGTATTTTTGTGCATGCAAACAATTGTAGACTTAAAGCAGAATGAGGGCAAATAAAAATGATTGTTGAGTAGTGTTTGTAACTGTAACTAAACAACATAAAAAGTAAATGAAGTGCGAGGATTGTGATGACTAGTTAAACAATAGAATAAAAAGCACGCTCTCAGGGAGTCCGGAATCCCCATTGGTATGTTTCTAACACACA